TATATATATATGAGGAGGGATCATTTTACTGTAAGTCTCTTATATTTATTCTGTTCAATAACTCATATTCTAATCAAATTTTAACGATCCAACCGTTAAATTTAAAGTTCTTAGTTTATAGATTAAATATGCAAATTTTTAAAAAATTTGAAAATCATTTGATACTTCGCTTCATTAATTCAAAACAATATATAAAATAATTTTATGATTATCCGTCAATTTGAATTAATAAAATGAAGTATTCAATAATTTTTAAATTTTCTAAAAATTTACAAATTTGATCTATGCATTAAGAACTTTAAATTCAACGGTTAGATCGTTGAAATTTGATGCGGAACATAAGTTATTGAACAGAGTAAGTCTAGGTAGACTTATCCCTAAAATAAAATGATCCTCCTATATATATATATTAATTAAAATATATTAAAATTATAAAATATCGTGGACTTTACATTTTATTTAATAAAATTATCTATAAATTTGTAACTATGTACCTCCTTGCACATAGTCGAATCATTTTTATATCAAGAAGTGGTAGAAAAAAGAAACATCCCGATATTATTGAATAGAATACTAATGACATGATTGCACAACCCTAAATCGAAAAAGAAAAATTAATAAACACAACTACATAACTTATAACTAGCACATGGTCGTGAGGAAGGTAATCCACCAAACAAAAAAGATTTTAATAACTTTAAAATGAATTGAATTTGTATGTACATGAGGAAAATTAAAGTTAGCTCCAAGAACTTGACCATTGCACTAACTTGTCGACAAAATTTTAATCATTTAAAAACATTAAAAAAATTTGAACTTAAAAATATATATGTTAAGAAGTTACATTTATCATACTTTAAAAAATGAATGAATATAAATAACCAGTAAAATTTGAGGCTAGTTAAAGAAAGATGTTACTCTCTTACAACATAATCGATATTTAAATTCTTATTGCGAGAAGTGTCCATTCAGTGTCAAAATCCAGGTCTTACCTTCAAACAAATTCTCTAAAAAAGTATATAAATGTGAAAAAAAAAATGAATATAAATTTGAATTTGCAATTCAGAATATTAAATTTATGATTTTATATTATTTTACTTGTTATTTCTTTTGAACTTAAAATACAAACAAACGAGAAAAGAAACTTATGCAAGTAAACTAAAATATTAACTAAATTTGTCTTATTTAATGATTTTTTTTTTTATATTTTAGATGTTAAGTTTGCGTGAAGGATATTTAAGAGAATATTATATATATATATATATATATATATATATATATAATGAAATTAGTAAAATTAAATAATACTAACTAATTTTTAAATTAATATGAATAATTTTTAACAATAAGTTGTTGGCTTTAATAAAATTGAGTTTAGTTTTTTTTTATATAAGTAAAAAACATAATATTAAAAAAAAAGTACAAAGGGTACTCCAACCTATATACAAAGTTAAGGCAACTGCTGAATACATATCAATGACTCATTTAACCAATTTATGTATATTAGTTGTCCCTCCTTCAATCCCGTTGTTAACCATTTTCATGACCTATATTTGATAACATCTATAATTTCCCCAACATTTACTAAACTATTGTTAAAGACAATATTATTTTTATGTAACCAAATATTCCATACCACAGCTACCCAAATAGTTACTAAATACCTCCACTTCTTTTTGTCACCGACAAAACCACACATATTCAATAAGAGATCCTCTAAACAGTTTGACATACATGAAGAGAAACTCAACCAATACCAAATCGAATACCATATACTGCTCGAAATAGAACAATGCAAGAATAAGTGTTTCACCTCTTCATCTTCATAATTACATAAGACATAAGATTCATTGAAGAATAACATACCACGCTTCACAAGTACCTTATGTACTGACAAAGTTTGTAATAACAATTGCCAAAAGAGTACACCGACCTTTTTAGAAAAAGAATATAGCTGAAAAAAAAAACTTTATAATCATATTCTTTAACAAAAAATTAATCATCATCAAATTTAGTCAATTCTTCATATAAATAATATAATTATTATAAAAAATTATGAATAATATTTTCTTATAATTTATAATTCAGCCCGGAAGGAGTAATTAATTGAAAGATTCTTGTATGAATTGAATGCGGAGTCAATTCATTTCGGATGGTTTAAATTAAGACAAATACTAACGGTTTCCGATCTCTCTTTCCATTCTTTTTATGTACTTTTCCTTTTGCCTAATATGGTTACTTAGGCCAGTCTTCAAATATTATGAATTCTATAGGTAAATCCATAAATATACTCTTATATTTTTTTATAATTAATCAATATTATAAATGATTATTTTTTTTCCGAACAATTTGATTGATTATTTGGTTCATTTATTTAAAGAAAATGAGTCTAGTATTACTTAAATTAATGACTTATTGATAAGATCTCTTATATATAAATATTTATAATATTAATAGATATATTATTTAATTAAAAATAACATATTTTATTATATTAAAAATATAATATAATGTTAATAATTTTAAAAATTTACTTCTATGCTACTATACCTCTAGTCCTTATCATAAAAAATAAGTTATAGTGTATTTTACATTACTAATTTAATTATTTTGAAAATGATGGAAAGGAGTATGGTTTATTATAAGTGTTATATAAATAGTTTTAAAAATCAAAGTGATGAATCTCCAAATTAGAAATATTAGAATAGAATAACTTTTAAAGAACAAAAATTAAACTTGAAATTTCTAAATAGGTCAAAAGAATATTTTTTCTTTTATAAATATAATACATAAAAAAAATTAAAATGACAGGAATTTATAATTATCTCACAATTTTATATTTAAATGTAAAAAAAATATAATAGATAGACTCATTTTTTAAAATAATATAAAAAATATTTTTTCATAATTATATATATTATTAATTTTTAGCCCCTTTTAATCATAGACCGAGGAGGATTGCACCTCAAAACCACCATCAAGGGCAAGGCCGGGCCTGAATAGATATTACATGTTTATACAGAAATTTATTCTGTCCCATATTTTCTATCCTGAGATTTTTTTTTATATATAAAAAGTTAAAAACTGGATTTCTTTTTGTTTGTCATTTATTCCAACATTTATTAGGTTCCGAAAGAATGACATAAAGAAAGAAAAAAAAAAGCCGGTAAGATACTTGTACTTTTTGCTACGATCATTATTTCTCCCTAAATTTTTGTTATAATTAATTTCTTTATAATTAATGAAGTAACGCATTTACTAACATTTAAGGAATTCTGTTAAGGGGACTGTACCCCAGGTCCGAAACGGATAATTATGAGTTGTATTGGATTAGGATTTCGAAAGAAAATTTTAGCATGAAATTCTTTTTTATAAATTTTAATAGATTTTAAAAAAAATATGTAGGAATGTCATATTTTTTGAATTCTTTTAAAAAAAATTAAAATTTAGATTTTAATCAAAATTTTATAATTTAAATTTTAATAAATTTTGATGAATTTATATAAAGAGATGTTAAAGGATTTCACATGAAACATGAATTTGTAATGCTACAATATTTAATAAAAAAATATAATATAAATAATAAAGAAAAGTAAAATCAACATAATTTTTTTTAAAAATTTTTTAAAAATTTTTGAAAAATAATTATCTCTATCTTTTGATAAATAATTGATTTTAATCACATATCTAAACTTATACTAACCTTCAATGTATTAACATATCCTCTTTCATGCACTTGAGTATAAATAATATGTTTAAAAT